AAACAATATGGCATGAATCTTATTGTAGATTAAGATCATCTTAGTACAAGAAAGGTTTAGTTAATGAAAATCAAAATCCTTGTTTCAAACATACATATTTGATGTAATCTGAGTTGTGCACATAATTATCTTTCATTTAATTTTTTCTATAAGTTTAAAATATTTATTCATTTAAAGTAAAAAAATAAAAATCAATTTTAAAATATATGTTGAATTATTTGTTTTTTTTGCTCATTCTGAAACAAAATTGTTTTTGCTAAATATTTATTGTTATGGATTACATGCAATATTTGCATGTAGATGGATCTTATTAACTTTTTTTATAACCTTTAGTTTTTTTTTTTTATCCAGCAAAATTTTTAATTTTATTATTAAAATTACGACGAAAAAATTTAATAAAACCTCAGCAAAAACTAAAACCTAAGCCAATAACGCTTTCTTCAAAACACCCAATCCTAGTCGAAAAATGTTAAGTTAAAAAAACTTGGAACTGAAAATATATCAATACAAAGAAACAACGATAAAAAGGTAAAATTTTTTGTGAGAAGAACTTAAACTCCTAACAAATTTTTGCAGTAATTACATAGTCCTTTTCAATAGCGTTCCCTTTTAAACTATTATTAATTAATACTTGAAGGTGTAAAAATGAGTTGTTTCTAAAGATATATACTTTCTAAATATGAATAATTGCAATCCATAATATGTACAAGAAATTTTTAAGAGTAATATTTTGTTTAATAGTTTTTTCATGATTCTTCTCAAAGAAAAAAATTTCAAGAACTATAATGGGTCAAATTTTCTCCAAGTTCTATAATGTTTTGCCAAATTCTACCAAAATTTAAAATTAAGTAATTTTGGAAAAGATTGTTTATAATTTTTTGTCTACAGTCAAAATTTAATATATAAAAAAAGAGAATAATTTTCCTGGTTTGATAAATTGTTTGTCCCACCCAATCAAAATTATATATAAAAAAAGAAAATGTTTTTTCTGTTTTATAAATTGTGTCCCACCAGTCAAAATTGAAAAAAAGAATATTGAAATATTATTAAACATAAATAAAAAAATAACCTTTTTAATTTTGTTCTATTTCTCTATCTTCCACCCACTCATTTGTTTCTTTGCTCTCTTCTTTCTCTTTCACTGTCTTCACTTCTTATGAATCAATTAATAGAAACATTTGTCTAACTACTTTTGTTTTCAAGTGTGAAATCCAATGTATACATCACTAAATATCAATTTAAGAAGCTATATGCAAACCCCACCATCACTAAATACTTCTCAGGACCTCCTTATCATAGTTTTACTACCTCATTGCCACTACCATCCAAATAGTCAAGAAATATTTTATATTTTTTAGGATTGTGTTGGTAACAACTTTTAATAAGCCGCTACTTAAAAAGATTAAATTCAGTAACATAAACGTTTGAACTAGCTTTTTAGAGGTTTCGTAGCGTTTTGTTGAAAAGCTAACTCATCTAACCGTTAGCTCATATAGAAGATACTTCAAACCAACTAATAGCTAAACGCTACTAAAACAAGCTGACAGGCTCTTAAAACAGCTGACAGCGTACCAAAATAACTAATTTTATCGAACAAATTTTTTTAGTAGTTGTGATTTTGTTTTTGAAAATGTTGTTTTGCTTGATTCCCTATTAATGGGTTCTTGAAAATTGCTTGATAATTTTTTAAGGGTTTTTTTTTTTCTATCTGGTTTTTTTTTTTTTTTTTTTTTCTATCTGTGAGAGAGGGAAAGTTAGGTATGATGGATTTTATGAAAGTAGACAGGAGAAAAAAATAAAGAAATTAAATTTTTTTGTTCTGTTAACAATAAAAAACCTATTCTTTTTCATTTTTTTTAAACCAATCGAGTATAATGCAAAATAACTTGCCACATTAGAGTATAATACGGTAAAATTCAAGAAATAAAAAAATACTTTGAAAATATAGTTACCCATTAAGCCTCCAAATACATTGAGTTTTTATGATTCTTTTTTAATACACTATTAATTCTCTACTCATTTATAAATATATATATATATATATATATATATATATATATATATATAAATAAAGTTTGTATTTTATCTTAAACTGCTACGAATATAAAGTCTGTGTTTACGGCACTTTCTCTTTCTCCTCCACACTCTGACTTAATTCTGGGGATCCCAAGGTTAAGGTTGGCAGGAACCCTAAACTAAATTGTTGATTAAATTTGTTATAAGTATGCTCTGTGAATGCAGCTTAGTCTGATCTTCCACATCAGAAATATTGTGTAAACTATATGTTAATTCTAAAGTAAAATCATACTTAATGAATTATAGAAGTATTCATATAAACCCAATTAATCATAGTATTTTAGTTCACAGTTATAATTTATCTTTAAATATTTGTATCGGTATTTATTTAAATCTTAGTCTTTAAATATTTGTATCTGTATTTATTTAAATCCCAGTAATAATCTTAGTTCTCTACATATATATGATTTGTAATTCTGAAATCTTAAGTCTTCGTCATTAGTCTTAAGTCTTTAGAAAAAGTCTTTAGTCATTAAGTCTTAAGTCTTAAAGTATAGTCTTTAGTCTTGTATAAAGTCTTTAGTCTATAATTGTTTTAGTCTTTAGTCTACTTTAAATTGATTGTTAAATAGTCTTTAGTCTTTTAGTTTTTGTCCTTAAAGTCTATATACAATAAAAATTAATGTTTTTAAAGTCTTTAGTATATATATATCAATGTTTCATTCATCTGAATATAATGTTTTTAACGACGTTTTAAGTCAGATGTTAATATTTAAGCTGTTCGGACAATACTAGATGTTTTAGGTAGTTGCAAACGTTGTTTTAGTTGTTAGTTGTTTTGGTTAGCTTTTTAGTTGTTTATAAATAAAGAGTTTTACAAATTAGAAAGTGTTTAGGTTAAAAACATCTGATTAATTTAAAATAACGGAAAAAAGAACTTTAATTTGTTTAGTTAGCTTAATTTCAAGGACAAAATTAGGCGTGATTCCTCAAAAAATTGAATTTATGACATGAAAAGCTAAGTTTTTAGAGGTATTTGCAGTTTCATAAAAAAGCGTTTAACACCTAACATGTTAACCTCATAGAGTTGGTTGCCAAACAAGGTTCTCAGTTAGAGGATCATAAATTTTAACCAAAAAGAAATTCCTATAATATATTATTTTCTTCCATTTATACCTTGGTTTTAGATTTCAATTTTTTTAAAATTCATGTAAGCTTATTTAATATAATGTTCCTCTAATTCTGGTTTGTCATTCGAGTTAATTTGGCTTTTTCTTTCTTTTTTTTTTTTCTTTTTCCTTATAAAGTAAAAAAATTCTTGCAGCATATATTTTTTTCAAAAATTTTTTTTAGCTAATATTGATATATATTTTCAAAATTTTGCCCTAATCTTCCAAATCTCTTTATAATTGAATTTACAAATATATATATAGAAGCTCTTAGTACATACAGGCTTAAGCAAACACAAAATATTATGCTATACAAAGTGAATTTTGGAAATCAATAGTTATAATATGTACTCTCTCTCTCTATCAAGTCTGTTTCTTTCTCTTCTTCTTGAAGTCTCTTGAATTCTCCTTACTCCTCTCAATCAGTTCCTTCTCTTCTTTTTCTTTCTCTATGATTCTCAGTTGCCAAACACTCTTAAACCCTAGATTAGGATATATGTGACATCTAATCCTATCAATTTCTTGCCCCTTGTGCATGCCCTTCCAAGTTATCAACCTGTGTATCAAACCTAATCGAAAAGCACTCTTTTTGGTATGTTAGACAGGTAATAGATGATACGTTTTCTCCATCCTTATAAACTCCAGGAAATTATTTACCTACACAGAGTTTAATCATCTAATAAATCTAATTGATTATGAAACAGGGTAAATAAAGTTTTGGAAATGTTTTTTCGTCAAAAAAAATGGTATAGTAAATAAATTTGACGAGGTAAGATGAATATATGCATAATATGAACAAATTTTCTCATAAATCCAACGGATCCGAAAATTTGAATTTAGACTTTTCAAATAGAAATTTTCAAAAGACTATTAGTTATCTCCTCCCTTTACTTTATCAACTCACAATCAATTTGGGTAAAATAAAGCAAGCATTTTCAAGAAAATAAGAAAGTAATGTATAACGTAAAAAGGGTAAATTAGGTTAATTGCCAAATGCGTACCGCTATGAAATCTTTCCTAAAACTGGATGGTGCCTAAACTTATGAATCTTTCTAACTTTTTTTCTATTTTCAATTTAATTTTTTTTGTTTTATTATGGTTTTTTGTAATTATATTACCAATAAACCAAAAGAAATGACTTGGCCTACCTTTTGCTTTGAAGTATGAACCAGGTCAATCGGAAGGCGCAATCTACTAGCAAAAGAACTTTGGCAAGTTCGCTCAGATCTTCTCCTTGAACAGCAATAACGACATCATGGCTTCTAAAATTACTAATTGCCAAAATTGTCAAACAATAGCTATTTTCAATGTTTACTATTTTTAAGTATTTCAAAGATAATTTCTAAAATACATGGTCACTTCTAGAGAATCAAGTCAGAATCAGAACCATACAACTATATATATATATATATATATTCTCAAGTTACCTTAAAATATACTTGGATGTATTTTAAGCAATAAATAGGAGATTGTCGATATAACAATCTAAAAAGCAATTGTAGCTAGTATTTTTCAATTTATTTTAATTGCAAAATTTAATAATTTTAATAAAATTAAGTATAATCCATTCAAAATATAAAGAATTTAAATGATTGTTTTTTAGATTTTAAATATATTAGGTGTAAATTTACAAATAAATTTCATACAAGTTTGCTAAATTTTTATATCCCAGATAGCTTTTATTTTATTATCATTTTCTTTAATCCATCCCCCCACTCCCCACATAATCTCTTATTATTTTTATTATTTTGTTATAAATACATGCCGTATTTTCTTGTAGAATTCATTTTTTATCATTTGTTATAATTAGCTTTTTATTTATTTTTACCATTTCGTAGAATTCATTTTCCTCATACTAAACAAGGACTTAGTATTATTTGTTCCACATGTAATGTGACTTGAAAGCATTTACTTGTCCCCTTTTAGCTCGAAGATGGTACATTCACAGCCCTCAGCAAGGAAGTAGCACAAAGGACACTTGAATTAAGGTAACGTGTTTTTAGAATTCTGTGTACCTTCTTATCTCAAGAAGATTTCAATCTTATTTAACTTGAGGTTTTTCAGATTTTTTTTTACCTAGTATTTACGAGGTAAGTCGGATGTATTTGGAGGACATGATGGTTCAGATTTAGAAACTTAAAAATGCCAAGTATTTTCTAGATTTAAATTAATAAAAGAATTTTATATTGCTGATAAAAAAAAATATGTATCTCTCAGTTTACATACAATGTTGAGATTTATTTCATTTAATGCATGATAGGCATATGAGAGGAGAAGAACTCCAGCGATTGAGCATTGAGCAACTACAAGAATTAGAGAAGTCACTTGAAAGAGGCTTGAAACGAGTTCTGGAAACTAAGGTTTATGCATTTTTATATTGTGTATATCAATTTTACTTGGTTTCTTCTTAAACTGATAAGTTACCCTAATAGTTCTTGATTTTACTTGGTTTTCTTCTTAAACTGATAAGTGACCCTAATAGTTCTTGATTTCAAACCATAATAGCCAGATTAACAAAAAGAAAAAGAAAAGGACTAGTCAGTGAACTTTCATTGTTGCAATGTTAATTTTCTCTTTGATCCATCTTAACCATGTTTTGTGATTCCAGATCTTGACAAATTCCGGGGAATTTAAGGCTCTTAAATCCAGAAATGGCTTTTAGAATACTTTTCCAAGTTGAAAACTTGGTTTATTAATTCTACTAGAATGTGATGCAATTTTATTTGTGGTGTTTCAGAGTCATGGTGTTTCAGAGTCATGTAATTACAAATGAGATCAATGCCCTCAAAAGCAAGGTCATATGCCCATCTTTGAACTGTAACTGTTGCTAGCCTTCCATGTAGTTTTATTGATGAGTAAAAGAGATCATTTTACAACTGTTCTCACATATAGTTTTCTATAACATAATTTTTGAGGTTGATGGGGTTGGTTTATTTGCTTTATTATTATTATTATTTTTTTTTTAAATTTATATCTTTGCTCTTTTTTTCCCTCATAATTTGCAGGAAGCTCAACTAATAGAGGAGAATGAGCGACTAAAGCAACAAGTCTGTGAGATATTTTATTTTCCGTTCTTTATTTTTACCAGTACTCTAAACTAACTTCTGAGTTCCTTTCTGTGTATTTGTATGGTAGATAATGAATGTACCGTACCAATGGTCAGACTGCATTTACTGAACCAGGAACACCTCATCAGATTCCATGATCACTTACTACCAGCAGCTCTGGCCAAGATCCTTCTCAAGATATGAACAGGAAACCTACACTTTCACTTAGTTAGATTGGGGTTGGTTTTTTACACTCAGCTCATTTCCTTGCAAGATGAGTTATTTTTACCCTCTTCTCTTGGTTGCACCATAGGTTTGTTTTGGACCATAGTCCTTAAACAAAAATAAATTAATAAATGGAAGCTTAAAGGTGGCAGGTAAATAGTTTATTTTCAATAGAAAAACAATGTCTCTAGTGCAACATACTATACATTGTGTTAACTGCTGTGATTCGGATAAACTAACATAATAATATTTATTTTTATGAGATAATTATACTTTAGGATCTTCTGTACCTTAACTTTAATATTAATTCTGAACAGTGCAGAACAGTGCAGTAGCCAAAATAAGATGGGGTGACTTTTACCTGTTCTTGGATGTTAATCAAGCAACCAAGTGAAAATATTTTTTTCATTAGAAATGGAAGAAAATTATTCCTCAGAAGTTGCGTGTATATAAGGAGACTATTCCGGTTGCTGAATGCAAGGCTTCCAATGTGGATTTGTAGCGACATAGTTGCTTGGTATCTATAACGTATATATCCAAGGGCTCTATTTCTCTTGCTCTCGTAGCAAATGGTTGCAGATATGGTATACAAAGTATATGATGTTATTTGATAATACACTCATATGTATGTAGATGATACTATTCGAATACAGACCAGAAACCTAATTCTCAAAATGCAAAGGCTTCTCAAAAATGCAAAGGCTCTTCTGAAGCAGGATTTTGTATATGGATCACATGATCTTATATTTGTGTAAGTTTTTGAAGCTTTGCTCTAAAATAGGTTATTTGTTGAAGGGATGTAAGACCGAGCAACTGCCTACTTAATATTTAGTCATTATTGCTAAAATGGTGTGCTTGAAGGTAGGTTTTGCCTAATGATGCTTTTATGATTGCATTTTCCATGTTGGACTGCTGCTCCATTGTTCTTTCATCTTGGGCTATAAAACTTACCATTTGGCCTACTTATTGGGCTTTTTGCTTGTTCTCGGTATGTCAGCTTGTGGGATGGAATATGTGTTTGGCTTCTTGATAGAGCATTGCTTCTTGCCTTTGGCTGTTCTGTGCTCTATCTTGATGCCTAACTATTGCTTTGGTTTGCACCTAAACCTGGAAGCTTCTTCAGTTTATGGCAGATGGTTTTATTACCCTTTCCTAACATGATACTCGAGCTTTTAAATATGGTAAGGATTATTCCTTTTAGCATGATCGTGGAGTGCTCATTTACTATTCAACTTCTTTGCTGAGTTGAAATCCTTAAGAGAAAAGGTTCGCGGGAGAGGTTTCACTATATATTTAAACTAATGACAAATCATTTGTTGGTTTTAGAGCATAAGATCTTTTTTATTTTCTATAGGCAGGAACATATGCAGTTTAATTTTTGAGGTCCGGCCAACAAATTCAGACCATTAATATGTGCTCCAAAGTCTCCTTCTAGTGTGAATTGTTTTTCAAGTTCCTGTAATCTCCACTAGAAAAACAGGTATAATCCTTAATATTCTTATCAGTGAGTCCGATATGAATGACAATTCACATCTTGGTTCTGTAATGCCTGTTGATTAATGCATTATTGTTTTGATTCTAATAGGATAGCCAAATATGCATTGTTTCATTTAAGTTTTACTTGTCCTGTACCTATTTAAGTGGCAAAGGGGTGATTCTGACTTTTGTTTATGCATACGAGTATTGTGCAGATGCATAAGGCAATGATTGAGTGTATGTCCCATTGTATTAGTTGTGATAGCAATATGGTTTTCTTTGGTCCTGTCTATGATTTTTTTTTTTTTTTTGAGCACTGTTGTGTTCCACGACATCCATAGTCCCCAATTACGAATATGCATTCCGCTCCTGTAAATTTCTTATTGGCTTCCTTTGCTCTGTTCTATCAGTGAGTCCAATATGATGAAAATTCACATCTTATAGCAGCTACTTGGTGAAGTGGAAATAACTTATCCTCAACTAAAGGTACTTGTATAAAATACTTCTGTATTTTATGATGTATTTTTGTTGAATAGTCATTTTGTTTCATGCTTATTCATTTTCATGGTTGGCAAAGTGTCCAGCACATGCAACAGCATTGCACGTGTATTTATAAAATTGCAATGTCTTATTTTCTTTATCAGTCTATGTTTCTTGAAGATTGTACAGCTGTTTTAGGGACATGTTCTGTAACTTTGAAGCAGAGAACTCATTGTGTTTTAAGTAGTAACTAAATTTAGGGGTCAAAAGAACCTAGTAAAAACTCATCATTTTGGTCTATGAAAGGACTAAAGTGTTAATTTTCGTAAAATTAAGAACCAACATATATATTAGGTCAAGCCTTGGGGTATTTTGTTATTATTTGAATTTCAAGGATTTGATGGGGTCTATGAAAGGACTAAAGTGTTAATTTTCGTAAAATTAAGAACCAACATATATATTAGGTCAAGCCTTGGGGTATTTTGTTATTATTTGAATTTCAAGGATTTGATGGGACAATCATTATGCTGGTGAAATCAGTCTGAATTTATTTGTTGTGAATGTATTCATTTTCCTGAAGATGCTGCTGTGCACCCTTTTTTCTTTTAATGTACTTGTTTATACTGTTCATTTCCCAGTTCAATAAAATTGAGAGGATGGATGCATGGCTGAGTCAAGTCGGGTAGTACTTGAAAATTAAATAATTTTGTGTTGTTTATAATTAAATTATTGCAGATAACTGCGAAGCTGTCTTCATCCTCAAAATCTGATTATGAATCTTTATTGCATGCAACAACTGATCATGTCATTTGTTTTGATTATTTGTTGTGTGCTTACATTACATTCTTGCTACTTAAATACTCTTGTGCAATACAGAAGTTACCGGAAAAAATGCATTACTAAGATTGGTTTCTAAGTTTCTGGAGAAGAATCATCTGCAGTGATGGACGACAATTGATGAAACTAGTCTTTATTTAGGGCCGATGTCTTTATTTTTGCCTCAGGAGATGGCACCTTGGCCTTGTCCACCCCTTCAGATGTTACTTCTTTCTTTCAGGGTACAAGTGTCATGTTTCTTTTTCATACATTACGAACATAAACAAGCTAAATGTAATATATGTGCATCATATAATATATTCCGAATAATTCCTGAAAAAAATTTCTCTGAATTTTTTTATTTATTTCGAGTGAAAGATATTTTTGAGTTTGTTTACGTGTCAATCAAAAATAAATTGGATTAATTGACAATTCAAACTTTCAACGTATGATTCTTTATATATTATCTTTATTTATATAGAATAATTAGTCTTAGTTTTGAGATAAATGATAATTTGATTAAATTATAATTGATTTTATTATAATTTAGAAAAATTAATTACCTTATTAATCCATATGTAAAAACATCAAACGATTTATATTAAAGTTTCAAAAAATTTCACCATTTTTAATTACAATTCTAAAGTATTAATTATTGGATTTTGAAACGCTACTTCAAATATTGAATTTACCCAACACCTCTAATTAGTGATTATAAACTTGAACACCTGCAAAGCTGGTTCACAACATGCCCTAACCAACCATATCTCCAAGCAAAATCTTTGGGCCTGGGCTGAATTGGCCCAAACTTACTCTATTTTTCTAAAAGTCTTTGTCAAGGTATTATTAAAAAAATATATAATATTGCATAAAATTCACCGTATAGGGCCGGGCTTGACTTGGACTGACATCTCTAAACTGAGGACGGACCCTAAATCTGCTCAGGATACGCCCGCCGCTTATTCAAGGGCAAAAAATTTAGGGCCGAAGTCTTTATTTTTGCCTCAGGAGATGGCAGCTGGGCCAATGTCCACCCCTTCTGATGTTATTTCTTTCTTTCAGGGTACAGGTGTCATGTTTCTTTTTCATACATTGCGAACATAAACAAGCTAAATGAAAATATATGTGCATGATATAATATATTCGGAATAATTAATTTGATCAGTGATAATTCCTGAAAAAAATTTCTCTGAATTTAACTCTCTCTATATTTATATATTTTGTAACTGTTCTTTTTAAAGTCGTTTTACGACTAATGAATTTTTTTCTCAAAAATGTAATTCGTGTTTGAAGTATTTTAAGTATAATAATTATATTTTTTCCGATATTATCCTTTATTTATATAGACTAAACTAATTTTAAAAGTTTTTGAGATAAAATGATCATTACCTTTAATTATCATTGAATTTTTGTTATAATTTAGAAAAATTAATTTACCGTTATTAATTATTTATATTAAAGGATAAATTAAATCAAATGATAAATTAAAAATCATTATTCATTGTTTAATATTTAAAAAGTATATAAGTATTTTTACCATATAATTTTTTACTATTTATCTTACAAATAAATATTATACTATTAACTTATTAGTATATATCCAAAATAGTATAAAAATAAAAAAAAAAAGTATGAATAAAAAAGTATTTTTATTTTCAAGGAATATGGGAAGTATTGGTGTAATTATTTATGGACATTGTCATTTTCTCTCCTATTTGCTCCATTTTCTGTTCCATTTGGAGGCATTGCATGTGGGTCCGATAGCATTATTGCATGTGGGCTCCACTTTATCTTTTTCTTTGTCTTTTTGAAGAAAATTTTGATATATTTGTCTTTTTGAAAGAAAATTTTGCCTTATACTTAATTTGTCTTTTTGAAGAAAATTTTGCCTACACTTAAATGTAGAGTTCAATTTTAAAATAGAAATAAAATAAATTAAACCAAATTGCATTTTAAAAAAATGAAATCAATTTAAATTGAAATATAGTTTAGAATCAAACCAATTCAATCGGTGAATTTTGGTCAGTTGTTGCATTTATTTTTAGTTTGATTTGAGCATATTTTTTTAAGTGTCATAAAACCGAGACTGATAAAACCTAATCAAATTCGCTTGAATTGGTCAATTTAATCGATTCAACCCGAAATATGTTGACTCTTAACCTATTGTGTGGACCGATCTATAAGCGTTCTTAAATCATCTCAAACTACTCAAATCAAATTGAATTGAAAATGGAATTTTTAAAATTAATGATTTAGTTTGATTTGAAATTTTTCAAACCGCTAAATATTAGTCTGGTTATGATTTGAGAGTTAATACCGCCAAATTGAACCAAACAAAATAAATATATAGATATTAATAAATAAATAAATATATAATTTTGACAATATTTTTTCTTATCATCTTTTCTTATCTCATATATCTGTAAAATAATGGAATTATATTAATTGTTATTTAAATTTTAAAAATTTTAAAGCTATGGAGTTAATACCGCCAAATTGAACCAAACAAAATAAATATATAGATATTAATAAATAAATAAATATATAATTTTGACAATATTTTTTCTTATCATCGTATATTGAAATATTGAATATATTAATTGTTATTTAATTTTAATTTTAAAGCTATGATTTACTTGCATTTATTTTGTACAAAAAAAGAGTTAAATGAACGATGAACACTCTTAAATATACCTCAAGTCAACAGATTATATAACACTTAAAAATTTATTACTATTTATTTTTTTTTTTTTTGTACTATTTTTCCCAATAAAAAGACATATTTACCCTTATTAATCTCAAGTGCAGTCAAATGAGGCTGGAGATGAAGCTAGTAGACTCTAACTGTAGACCAAAGAAAAACTTTCAAACATTTGGAAAGTCAAATAAAGAAAAAAACTTAC